ATTCGACGTTTGCTTGAAAGCCTTGTTAATTGTTTCAGAATCATTCGTGTATACCATTAAAACGCGGAAGTAGAGAAACATATGTCACAGCTGGGTGTTTTGTGTTTACTTATTCTGGAGGAGCCTCAAAACCCTCTATATATTATTAAAATATGGCGTATGATTCCCTTTGAGTTGAGATTTTGCATTATTTGTAAATGCCAATCTCCAGGTCGGACAGATTGATCTAATCGGGAATCAGACTTCACATAATGACGCGAGAATGCACTACGTAGCATTATGCCAAAAGTCAGAGGTTAGCATTTTCGAGCGTGTGGCACATAACTGGTTAAGCAATTCGTCAAGAGATTCAAGACATTTCTTCTTATTGTCTTCATGGTAATCTACCTTCTATAAATCACTCCATAAAATGTATTGTACGATCGCATTAGCATCGCCAGTCCATAAGATTGAGTTCATAAAGGGCGCCAAGTTGCTTGGGTACCTTAATTTTATGTCATCCTAAAGAAATCAAATTAAAAAAAAAATCAACCACCTTGATTTGTTTATCTCGTATCGTTCAAAATACGATGATGCACCCTATCATCCCAAGTTCATTCTAAACAGTCGACAGCAGCGCTACTGAAACGAAAGTGGCAGTCACAAGCTGTAGCCGGTGACAGGTCAAGGACGAAGTAGAAGCTCCTCCCACCTCTTTCTACTGGAGCGGAGCGAACGGTGGAGAGGAGGTCGCCTCCTGTGCAGCGTTACCTTTCCTAAAGAGGAAAAAGATGGGAGGGGCTTCCACTTCGTTCTTGACCTGTCACCGACTATAGAGGTTCATTTATTTGTTCTTTTCTTCTGGAGATCATTAAAGTTGTCAGATGGGGTCTGGTCCGATGCAAATGCAATCATTAGTCTTACTCAGGTCAAGTTATGGCTGTTGGCCGGTTAGTGGCATCCTTGCGTCTCAACCAGTTCGTCATCTCTGGAATGTTTCTCTTTTCTTAAGTTCGCGTTATCTTGAAAGAAGTTTTTTCCCCTAGGAATCACGAATTCACGGTTGGGAACGCCTATCAAATGACGCGTGTGATAACACATTTAATGTTCTAAATACAATTCGCGCTAGTCACGAGGTTTCACATTTTTAATGTTGAAGCGCATGGTGTCTTCAATGAATTGAATATGTCACTATGTCCATTCTTGTATTTGCGGTGATTGACACGCCATCTGGAAAGAACATTATGATGATAGCGCAGGCCAGCTGGTCAGCGATAATACTGAAAAACTCCGGAGATAAGGGGGCCTAAAAATATTGCAGCTGTGTTTTCAGACGGCATTGCGTTAGATCACTGTTCTATGTCCCCTCGTCTCCGATGTTCTTCAGTGTAAACATGGGTAGGTTTGTATGGTTTAAAAAAAGAATGAGTATTTTATTCATTCATTGTTTCTTGCTAATCTCAAATCATTTATTGCATGCTCATCTGCTCATTGATTCTTTTACTGAAGAAAAAAAGCATTTGTGTGTCTAGGAATGGTTGTTGATTACAGTATAATAAAAAAATTAACTCCAATGAGTTTCGTTTGCTCAAACGCGCACCTTTTGTTCGAGGTTAAATTGACCTCATAACGAAGCAAATTGAATTTTAACGAACCACTGAAAGCTCATAAAGTCCTCCCGACAATGACAAATGCGCTGAACTTTGGAGCCGAGTTTAATGGGATTATCTAGAAACTCCCTTAACCGATTCAAATATGTCCGGAAGCTTCAACTTATTAAGTTTAATTTTTTAATAAAATTATCTCATGTACGCCCAGTTTTTATTTAAATGACTTGGCGTCTTTGGCATGCAATTAATACACCAACTTTTAAAAGGAACTATCTGCTCAGAGCACTTTCGTTAACAACATCCCGGATTAGGAGCCTTAAACACTTCGTGGCGAAGAAGATATATTTGGAAGAACGCCAAATCATAGGGACGGAATCTCGCCATTTAATGCGTCTATTAGGTGTCATGTAATACACGAAGTACATTTGAACGCCGAGATAACAATATGTTAAGTCAAGCTAGTATATTTAATGCGGCAATGAATGTTCGGGATAATGAGTTTGATGAGTAGGAAAAGGCGTAAACTTCTGTTTTTACAGCAGAGGTAAATTTCCGTAGAACTTAAACGACGCTATAAAAAATATTACAAATAAAATGTAAACTACTCACTCACGCAAGAAAATAATCATCTTCCATTCGCCAAATTCATTTAAGTCTGCTTGAAGAACATGGCTATTAAGTGCTTTCAAATAGGGTCTATTAATACGAGGTTGAAATTGATAAAGTTGTAGTTGTGTAATACAATTATTAAAACAAAATCATCAACGTAGGAAAGCAAAGGGATTAAATATGCACTACTTCAAAAGTAATACAATGCTTACAGTAGTAAGGTGGTAGATGTTGTCCGGAAGCGCATTCAGAGAAGCTTGTTGGGTAAGACAACAGGGTCGATTTCGCCACGTTCGTTTGCCTATTTTCATGGGTGTCACGTCGCCTCGGTTACATGGGTGTTCGAGGCTTTGGTAAACACGCCTGAGTAATTCACGCACTAGCTTGTAGGCGGTCACCGTACTTGTTCATGCCTATGGGGTAAGCGCAAGCACTTTAAAATTGTTAACCTAATGTGACATGTTTATTTTGTGTTGTTTTATTTATTTTCCTAAAATAGTGTTGACTTTTCTTGGTTCACATTGCAACAAGGCCATTTCTACTCCTAAGGTGAAAGTGTGGAGGGGGGGGGGGGCGGTAAACACGCTGTTGTGATCCATGCAGTAGCCTTTGGAGAACTCCATGATTTCATAACACTTATCGCGGTAAGCGTTAGCATAATAAGCGTCGTGTGTTGTCGTCAATCCTATACCTGTCATTGTTTTTTTTTCGCTTTTTAGTATGTAATTAACCACCTAGCCTAACTTCTTTTTTCGTTGTGTTTTAGTTCTGTTAACCTAATCGTAGCATGTTATTTATGGATTTTATAATCGTATCAAACTTCTTTTTTTACTGCTTCATAATCAGGCTTAGTAATTTCTAGGGTTTCGTGTTTTGGGAATTTATTTCTATTTTTTAGTTAACTTGGGCTGTTTTTCAGGGCCTATTTTTTCACAAAAAATCGCTGTTTTTTGGTGTAAATTATTTGTATCAGGCAAAAGAAAAATAGCTTTTTTTTTGTTAGGGATTGTGCTGAGGACATTAGGGCCCGGGCACGGAACCCCTGACCTCCAGAGGACGTGCACGTGACCTGAATGCTCAGAAAACGTACCGGTACCGATAACAGAAGGACGTCAGATAATGGGCGTAGTATCGAAGACAGATGCTGCCCCGCGGACAGTAAACTGTGATGCTGTGTTAAAAGTAGAATTAAGCCGCAGAGAAAAATCTCCTTCGCGTGAAGCTTGTGGTTTTCCCAATTTGAGGACAACTCCAATGCAGGGTTTTTTTCAGTTTTCTTAGATTTTGGTAAAATCAGCTCTAAAGTTAAATTTTGGGGTTTATTTATTTTTTTTTTTTTTGCCAAAAACGAGTGGGACATTTTTCTTTTATTCGTTTGTAACGGCATAGGTACATCGAGAAGTGTAGATTAAAAAATAACATTAGCTCCGGTCATACACTGTGAGCGGGCCTTGGTGCAAAATGGCAATATTTTGCATCAGAGGCATAATTATATTTTGCATCATCCTGAAAAAGTTTAGCCAGTGCTATGCATGCCAAATTAACCGGGGGAAGCTGGCACGTGTCATTGAAGGAAAGCGAATTAATTTTTAATACATAAAACCATTTGGCTTCTATCTCAAAAATGACTTACACGGCACTTCTTTTGCGCAGCAATGCGGTTATGTCAAGTTGTAGGCTTATTCTCACAGAACATAAAAATGTCTCACTCGTTACATTTTTATTTCCCCATAAGATCGCTTTCTATGTTAAAGCATATAACGCCTGATATATTGAAGAAAAATGCAAGGCTGCTCTACAACATACTTTAGTAGCATTAGATATCCTGAGGAAACTACTGCCCCACTCTCTCCCCCTTTTCCGGCTTTTCATGCATAATTCATCAATAACACGCTCACTGAGAGAACTATATATTGTAGTGGTCATGACCGGACTTTAATTTGTTCTGTCATTTTACGTTCGTCGATACCTTTTGGATTCGATTTTCTAGCAAAAGAAGTTATACGTGCACCTAAGATAACATGTGAGAACATACAAGATATTTATAAGAACTTACATACGCTCGAAATAATGATAAAGCTTCGAATTCTTGCATTCACCAAACTAAGGCACGGAACTTTTTTCTTTTTAATGTAGATTATGAATTTTATTCTGATGTCCAGGGAGCTAATAAGCTTTTTCCAGGTGCATGCTCCCTTCGTTGAAACGCCATTCGAACGGCAATTTGTGGAGCTACAATGCTATGGAGATGTCGTCTGAGGTCACTACGTGCACGACAAATAGTCACAGTTCATTTCAGATCAGGAAGTTTTAGGGAACCGTTTTTGCACATCCGATACGGTACGATGGGCCGTCCGGTACGAACTGTGCATGTAACGGTCTTCTGCGGTAGTGCATGCGCAATTCGTACAGGAGTGCCGGTCGTACCGTATCGATTGTACGAAAACGGTTCCCTAAAATTCCTATTAAGTCATGCCGTAGCCAACGTTATGATTGGATGGATGCAGTCAGGCGGTCCCCAAAGGGCATCGTCTCGATGATCGTCCTCTGTACGCGTTTACTATTACCCGTTACAGCCAGTCACGCACAAAACAGAGCGTAGGATCCCGCCGCTTTGCGTGTGTCCAATTCGTTTAACCGGTGAGACAAAATGCACAAAGACGACGACCGCCATGACAACGACGACGCACTCTTGGCTCTGCTTGACTGCCGCCGTCAGACTGTATACCGTAAGCCGCGGTCGGAAATAATGGAAAACGGAGTTGTGATAAGTAGATTTAGGCGCTGTGTAAGCGGTATTACCTTTTTCATGATGTCCCTAAGCGCCGAACTGCGTGTGGCATCCGCAGCGTTTTTTGTGCGGCAGTTGATCGACGGGAGTTGAACGGTCTTTCCTCCTCCCCAACTGGCGATGCTGAGGGCGAACAGCTTGACGGCGTCGTACAGCATGGCGTTCTCGGTCTGAAAAGTTGAAGCCGCAACAAAGAGTCGTCAAGCAGCGACGAATGCTGAAGCTCGCCATTCTATGCGAGATTGCATTTTAAATGCAATCGGGACGTAGAGTAGACAGTTGGGCGAGTTGGTAGTTATTGAACATAGTGACAGTTGCGCACACAGGGACAAGGACAGAGAAGAGGAACACGTAGACGACAGACAAGCGCACACTCACAACTCATACCACTTTCTTTTCTTCTTTTGTAAATACATGAGTTGTGAGTGTGCGCTTGTCTGTCGTCTACGTGTTCCTCCTCTCTGTCCTTGTCCCTGTGTGCGCAACTGTCACTATGTTCAATCGGGACGCTTTTTGCTTCGGAATCTGTTTTAAATGCGTGGGGAACAGCCCCAACCAGACCCACGAGAACGCTTGGTTCCGCGATCATTTTGAGGTGAAGTGCAATAGAACCACTTTTCTACTTTCAGCCATGTTTATTTTTCTTTTTAATGAGGAATGTCATCAGGTTTTTTATTGATCACAGTTTCTGTCACTATAAATCTACCATTTACAAGCTTTATAATCTCGCAACGAGGACACAAAGAACGACTGAGTCTTTTGTGGTAGGACTCAATTTCAGTATTCTCTTTCCGACTGGCAAAACTCCATGGAAGCAAAATATTTCCACTCAAGAACAGATACAGAAAATGACTTTCATTACAGAATTGTTCATCGAAAATTGCATACGAAATGAAAATTGTAATAATGTATGTTTTTGTTGTAGGGTGCTAATATATAACCAAGACTGTAGAAGTGTCTAAAGTGCATATAGCAGAAAGGTGCTTATGGTTAATATACCTATATATATATATATATATATATATATATATATATATATATATATATATATATATATATATATATATATATATATACATATATATATATTGTCACACTTAAATGTGTAACTAAAAAGCCCGCTTACTTCAAAGGTCGCTCTTCAATTTCACAAACATTTTAAAAGCAAGTCACAACCAATTTCTAACGATCAGCGTGTGACTGAGACTGAAACTTTCGACTTGGTCGAATGACAAAGGTCATTGATACATCTCTCTAAATTCTTTGATTTCAGAAAAATTGCAAGCAAATGTACATGCCACTGATAACTTAATTTAAACGGGAGTTTTTATGCTCTCAGAACTACCGGTGGCGACTGAGAGTTGCCTTTTGTACGCCATATTTTCAAAGGGTGAGCGTCATCCCAAAATGCTTCATAGAAGAACGTTTTTTTGCTAATATATCACGCCAAGGACATTTCATCAGACACACTCTGCATTACATAGAATAGAACGTTTATCTTTTAAAATCGACATCTGATTCGACCTGCAGACATCACCTGCTGCGCAGTCACGCGGGTTGTGGAGCAACCACAAAGCGGAAGGATCAACGCACGGGCCCGCTTTGCCAGCCCAGTTTTGGTATCAAGTCGTCAGCAAGGATGAGCTTTCTCGCCCCATTGCGCCCACAACGAATGTTTAAAAGAATATTTTCGGTAAGGTCGAGATTATATTGAGGTCGAGCGTCAATGTTTAATCTACATTATGCCCTAACACTAAAACTGAATAAAAAATATAATCAAAGTTTTTTTTTAATTACCTCGCTATTTAATAACCAATTTTGGTTCTTTTCTTGTTGCCCATAGGACTAACATTCAGCCCAGTGATAAAATATACTCGACGAACATTCGCTGTAATTCTAGCCACTCTAGAAAAGCTACGTAGTTTTAAAGTTTAATTACTTCTGTTAGCTGGTATTTTATTTTCTTAAACCCGTACTGTCAAGCAAGTAGTACAACGTGCTCGTTTGGTATACGCATATCATTCAGTGCGAATGATATTTCGATATACGTAATCATGTTTATATGCACCGTGATGAAATAGAAAATACCTTTGAAAAGATTTCAAGACTGTCGACTTTGAAAATTTTTTATGCGGATGTCGGCCACGTTTCCTATATAAACCAGCTACCGTATTAATTCTTGGCGCCTGTATTGTTTTCTCTTTATTGTGTCATATATGGTGAGTTCAGTAAACATGTGAATGTAGGTCGAATTAGTTCCGTTGCCGTATTAATAGGTAGTGATTATTTTGTCACAGGAGGCAATTTAAAGCGCAATTGCTGACGTTTTGGAGCTAACATGCACTAGAAGCATTATAATTTAGACTAGGAGCTGCTGTCAATGGACATAAGGCCCAGCAGCACTGTTCTAGAATGCGCCGCAGGACTAGCGTTTCCGCTTTAAATTTTAATTTCGCCCTTAACAAGTACTTTTCGGAAAGTAAAAAAAAAATCATAATTTATCACCGTCGAACTAAATGTTAACAGTGTAAAATAAGAGAAGAAACATATTTGGAGACAGTGTAGATATACACGTCACTGCAACGAAGCAGAGTTTTTTTTTTTGTATTGTGTAATTTTTTATGTACCGTTGTCATTTTGTGTCTGAAATCTTGAATAGCTCTAGTTTAAATCACGCGTTTACTTTCAATTATAATATAACAAATCTGGACCTATATTGGGGCTGCGACACCTCGCTATTAACCCCCCAAAAAAGTGAGAAAAAATAATTTTGCTTTAGAGTTTTGTTTTTAGAACATCATCAACGCCACACAAACGCGGTCTGTGCAGATGAGCTCTGCGGTTACGGGGCCCTAATGGAGGGGCTAATGGTCACGGTAAGACAGATAAGTAACTAGAATTTGTTCATTAGCTTTTCAGGCACTGAAAATAAACATATGACTTCAATTACAAGCTTTCTGAACGTCATCAAAGACCACTAAATTTATAAATTTTACAAAGATTACGAGTTTGTGGGATAAAAGGCACTTCACTAAAATTACCACTCGTACAAAAGGCACAAAGATGACTACGCGAAAACGCAAATCATTAGAGACGGCGAAACAGCGCAGGCGTGTTTTCGCACGCGCAGCATTGCGCGGGTATCGGGCGGAGGCGCAGCCTTGCGCCTGTTGAGCGAGTGATAACTTTAGTGCATCACTTCAATTCTCACCCGCTCGAGGTATTTTTAATTTGGCTTATTTAGAAGTCTTTAATTACAGTCGGAACGTTTGTTATTGGAATGGAATGTTTATCGCTACTAAAATATATATTTAACAAATATTATTCCTCTAACGGAACTGTGGTGATGATTAGTTCTCTATATTATAGCCCATAACCATATAACTCATCTGCAGAGACAACATCAGTGTATGTCTGAAGGCTTGTTTTAATTATCCTGTAAAGCTAGAAAATATAGGATTTGTAAATAATAGTCTTGGTCGTCTGTGACCCCATTAACGCAAAATTTGTACAGGCTAAAAAAACTAGAAAGACCAAGTTGAAGCTGCGGATGATATTTAGTCCCATTATTCATATGCGGTTTTTTTATTTATAACATATCTTACGTCAAACTAGACAATCTCTACAATTTAAGTATAAAACATCTATTGCCAACAGCGAAAAAAAAAAGCAGCATCGGATATCGACGCCAAATTTACGAGATTCTTTGAATCTTCAATGCCTCACGCCTCACAGCACGGCTAGACGTACGTTTCACTACCCGTATCTCGGGACAAAGCACCTTGGAACAAAAGCGAAGCGGGAGAACCCTCGACATAAACGAGGCCCGACTTCTTAACACGGATGTCACGATCCTCGCTTATCCTCGCCTCGGTGCACGTGCAATTAAGGCGCGGTATTAGATCGGATATTTCGCTCCTCGGGCTCGTGGTGTTCTTCCCCAGATCATTTGCATTACCCCCGCGGGCGCCCCTCTGAATAATTACGGGGATAAAAAGATCGTTTTATGGGGCTCTTTTTACGAGGCAGAGAAGCACGGTGGTTGAAAGCCCTGTGAGTGCAATATCTCCGTGATCAAATATTCCCACTTATCCGCCATCTTATCTTCTGGACATCGGGGATGGACGTGTGAGGCTCAGACCTGGCCCTGTTTTTGCTGCTGTCATGGCAGCGATGCTGCCGGGGTGCCCGGTAGGTCAACTGTTCGATAAACTGGGTGGAACCGTGAATGTGCTTTAGAAGGTAATACTGGCTGATTTTGTTTTATTTGTAGCGTAATCTACAGTGCCGTAGGCCAAGTTACACGACCTTGAATCACTTGCCTATAATGTAGTAAACCAAGTGTTCTAGATGCAAAAGGGCATTCCACATTTTTTTTACGTTTTACATACAATTTCATAAATGGCCTTCTGGTCGGTGTAAGTTTAAGAATTCGTTCCCATTGCGCGGGCTTTGCTTGCTTTTCGAAGTGACGAACAACAACAACAAAATGTCCCCACGTGTACTTTTGAAGAGAGGACACAAGGATCAAATCAGTGCAACTTTGGGAGGAGGCTTGAGGGATGGCAAAAAAAATATTATAGATTTAAAACATATTGGTTACAGCGGATTAGTGCGCATAATTTGAACTGATACATCATACTCACTTTTACTTCTAGAGTTATATCTTACTTTCAAAACATTCGTCTGTCTTTTTATATTGACAGCTTCCTCTATTCGTCGAAGCAATTTATACATCAGTTGTTTTAATGAAAAGTAACTCTGTAGTATCTTAGAAACACAGTATTTTATAAATCCACCTACATTTTCAGGGCGAAATGCGCATAACAAGTGTTTTCAGTTTTTTGTGAACTAAAACTACCGTCAAGTATATATTTTAGAGTGTATATTTCCGACATTCGCGGGAGCATTCTTTGTGTGTATGATGTCAAAATTATTGGCCATAAATTTACAACCCACAAAATTCAATATATTCGACCTCAGATGCCAAATGTCTAAGCTTCGAAAGAAAGAGAGCAGAATACCAGTTTAACAGTACAAAACAGACACTGAACATTGCAAGTGTAGAAGTCATTCGCCTGGGATACTTATCACAAGCTCTTATCTTTGTGTTTTATTTAGTATATTTATTTGATTCTGAAGGAAGAACGGCTGTCAAGCAATACACGGTGAAACGAAAAGGCGCGTTTCTGTTCACCAGAATATGCTCCTTAATTGTACGGAAATAAAATATATTTGTTGAATGCTTACCTCCAACTTCATGGGAAACTTGACTTGATCATCGTCGTTGCCTTCATAGTCGTCCTCTTCGTCGCCGGCAGTGACTGCTGGAGCGGGCGACGGATTGTTAAGTGCTTCAATGACGTCTATTTTTTTCTGAAAAATGTCGGCTACTGGATCTTCCACGTCAACGATTCTCAGCGCCGTAATATTGGCCTTGGCGTAGATGAAGTCGCTTAGATCTGCCACGTGAAAGTCCTGATGACGTGGGACAAACAAGAAGCAAGGACCAAAACAAAACTATTAAAATAGGCATTTTTGCAGTGAAACCACTTTTATTTCGAAGCTATAAAGACCTACCGCTCGCGATGATAATCTCAACCTGCCAAGAATAAAATACAATTGTTTAGAGAAAACGAATTATGAGTTAGTGTAACATTCCTGCGATCCAACTTGATTAACGAATGAAAGAACTAGCACCTTTCATGAGACACATGCGTGCACGAGCTTCGTCACATGTTCACGTGTATTCTGTTCTAGCTTTATCATATTAAAATGATGTTACGAGCTAGTTTTAGAATAGCGCAAAAAAAGTTTATGTACGCGCAAATATTGCTTCGTATTTATGCGCACATTCAAAACTCAGGTTTGGACTCGGCGAACACTTTAAAAAAATATACCTGGTCGTAAAAGAACTCTTAGGGGTTCCTCGGCGTGTCCATATTTGGCACCCTAAAAAGTTAATTTAAACAACCCCTGCAAAGGTTTTTCGTGAAAAACCTATAAGCGGCTCTTTTAGGCTCTTTTTCTATTAGAGAACGTTCTTAATCACCCAGCTGTCTTTATAGTGCGCCAGCGGTTGATAGTGTTTGAGATGAAAGCGGTCTGCGGGACTTGAAAGAGCTGTTGGGGCCTCTAAAAATATTTTAAGAACGTTTTTTTAGTGCATGCACATGGGTGACGACGCACTTTTTTTCCGTAGGCAAAGCTTTTCTGTAAACTATTTTAAAACTTCCCACTACATTTTATTGAAGATTATTAATTACATAAAAATCTAAACCAAATGTGACATTTAAAATGTCTTAAATCAACATGTGCATTTTAAGTATAAATATTGAAAAGTTACTGCTCTGTATAATTTTTTTAATTAAATCATTTTGCTTTGCTCACAACAGGAGATGCTTATTTAAAGTTATACTTCTGGTAAAACAGTACAAATCAATGCATTTTTATAATGTTACAAAATTTATAAAAGTGTCCATATTTAAAGCACCCATTCTTAGCAGTATATTTGCTTGAATGTTTCTACGAAAATTGCGATCCTTTTTACATTACTTTGGGTCGTAAGAACGACATAAAATTGTGGAGCAAAGCACAATTAACAATGACTGCTTACGTTGAAATGATGATACACTATCTGAGAAAACCAATTAGAATCAAGGCAACAATATGCCTTTGCGCATTCAATTTCTTCAGAGTTAAAACTTACCAGTGACATGAATAAATAGTTGTACTCCTCGCCGAGCATTTCAATCTGCATGGCCTGGAAAAGCAAGCAGCGCAAATTTACTAAGGAAGTTATTTTTACATGAAAAATCATTTTTCTCCTCAATGCTGAGATGCCAGAATTGGAACTGTGCATTAATAAAAAAAAAATAAAAAAAAAAACTTACCATAGCACGTGGTGGTTACTTTGACCTCTAAAGCAGCTGACAGTTACATTAATGCCGAAGTAATGTTTAGAACACCTTCTCTTATTTTTGTTTTATATCTTAACTCCCTTCATGCAAAAAACGTACAAGCTTAAGACCAGGATGGGTATAGTTATATGTTAATTTTCCGCTGTAATTTTACAGCTAGTGATAAACTGGTGTCAAATTTCAACTACCTCAAATACCCACAGCTATTCTAAAAAGTCGGTACCAAATAGCAAAATAAAATCTCTCTCTCTCTCTCTCTATATATATATATATATACATATATATATATATATATATATATTGCTATTTGTCAAGCAACAAAAGCAAACTTAAATTATAGTGTTTTGTTTTTACATTATACGTATTAATATACTTGTGTGCTTTAGTAAATGTAATATATTTGACGAGCCAGTAGGAATTTATCAAGTGAATATTTTGTAAAACGTGCCAACTGTCGCGCTCGTGCGCATAAAAACTGGCCTCGCGCACTGCACCCCGCGCTCAGAACAGATTCCGGCGCTGGCCCTATGGCTATATATTAAACCGTTTCTCGTACATATCTGCCGCGTCGCCCTTCCTTGGTGCAGTATACAACATGGTGTCAGATGTAGGATGCCGCCAACGATGAGTCGATTTCAAGAGCCCTTCAACAGGACAAGCCACGCCGAATATGAACCACGCTAAGGTACGTGACTTTGCTTTAGGGGACCTTCGGATTTAACTAAAGGACAAAGAATGGCAAGCTTCGAAATACAACCGCCAGAGGCATTTTGCTTATCATTCCCCAACAAACGACCGAAGTGGAAAAAATTTGAATGTTTCCGCGAGTCCTCTACTTTGCATCAACCTGAGTCACATGAAATAGATGCCTTCGTGTACATCATGAGCGACGAAGACGAAGAAATCTATGGCGCATTCTAGGTTTCTGAAGAGGACGCCAAAAGTTATAAATAGTAATGGACCACTTCGACACGTACTCTATCCCACGCTGAAACTTCATCTTTAAATGAGCTCGTTATATAACAAGAGTTCAGCGGAAAGGCGAGTCTGCTGAGGATTTTCTCACTCCGTTTCGCGCACTTTCGAATCCCTGCGAATACGGTAGCCTCCAGGAAGAGCTTGTGAGGGATCGTCTAGGGTTTTGAATCAAAATCCAAATGCTCTCTGCAAAACGGAAACTCAACATGGACCTTACCTTGCAAAAGGCGCTTGAAGACGTCAGAGAAGTGGAAAGCGTTCGTAAGCAGCAAGCTGAGCTCAATCCTGACAAATTGACAGTCAACAAATATGCCTCAGAGCTTCATAAAAAAACGCGGTTGGGCCAAGGATTTTTTTTTCAATCTATCCACTCGATCAATGAGCGATCTCACTCCGAAATTTATCCACAATAAATGACATTATTCGTCTGTACGGAGGTCTCGACGTGTCGGATTTGTTGGAGCACCCAAAACATGAAGGGGTCCTGGATGTTTAGGAGATATCAAGTCCTCCAAAACTCCAGAATGGAATATAAAATTCTGGTTCAAGGTCAGTCGGCGAAATTTATAATCGATACAGGCACCGACGAAACTGTCCTATCACAGGCAGCATTCAAGATGCTCAAGCGTCAACCTCCGCTGACCGAAGCTGCTCGTCAGCTTTAGTGGCCTGACGTAAAGCTCCTCATGACATGGGGCGTAGCACGACTGCAAACTCGTCAACCGCGACCGGGAGACGGTCCAAAAAGTTTATGTGCTAGACAATGTCCATACATCCTTGCTCGGCAAGCTGGACATAAATTACAGATTCTAGCATTCGTCAACGTCCTCGTCCAGAAGGAAAACCCGAAAGACAAATTTCCCTCACTATGTCAAGGTTTCGGCAAGCTGTAGAAGGAGCAGTGCATTCGCCTACGCGAAGAGACGGAACCAGGTTTAATCAACTATCCAAGCCACATTCTTATTCACCTATACGAGAAAACAAGGATGGAGCTAGAGTGAATGAAAAGCATCGGTGTATTGTCACTTGTCAACGAACCAACCGAACAGTATGCCCCTATGGTAGTCGTCCGAAACCAACCGGAGTAGTCGGAATCTGCGTAGACTTCCCTGCCCTCAACCATCACCTACTAAGAGAATGGCACCCAATTCCCTTCACTGAGCATACACTCGGACTGCTCCACGGCGCCAAATTATTCTCGTAGCTACATGCAATTTCAGGATTTGGACAATTTCCTCTGGACGAAGGAAGTAAGAAGTTCACCACCTTCATTACACCGTTTTGAAGGTTTTACTTTAACAGACAACCTTTCAGAATAGCGTCCGCTCCAGAAGACTTCCAAACGCAGGTGGAAAACATTATGCAAGGCATTAACGAAGTGGTATGCCATATGGACGACACACACATTTGGGGCCCTACTCATGAAGAACACAAGGGAACGCTTCGCATCGTGCTGAAACGACTCAAGAAGGCTGGGTTGACGCTCAACGAAAGCAGTACCTATCTAACGTCGAACACTTCACAATCTTGGGTCATCAACTAGACCACAATGACATCAAGCCTGATGAAAGGACAGTTGAAGCCATTGTAAAAATAAAAAATCCTAAAAAATAGAGCGAGCTACAAAGTGTTCTAGGAAGAAGCTACATATCTTGATTACTTTGTGCTAAACCTTGCTGATCTTCTTCAGCCACTAACGGCTTTGTAGTCGAAGAACCTAGATTTTCTTTGGGACGATTCACAACAACTAGTATTTGGCAAGTGGGAGCAAATACTACCGTCTCATCCCGTGCTGGCCTGTGCGACCCTAAAGAGGATACAGTGGTCAGCGCAGACGCTTCCTCCTTCGGACTTGGGGCAGTTATTAGGCAACGAAAAACTGATGGCAAGTTTGCTGTCAATCCATAAGCATCAACATTGCTCTCGGACACAACAAAATGCTATGTGCAAATTGAGAAAGAAGCATTGACTTAGTCTGGGCAATTGAAACATTCAAGGACTATTTCGTTGAGAAAACATTCATGATGGAATCCGACCATAAACAGCTAATTCCCATCCTTATGTCAAAAAGCCTTGGCAACTTGACTCTCAGGCTCTAGAGACTAAAGATGAGGATGATGCGCTGCCAGTGCAACGTAGAGTGCGTCCCATGAAAATATCTACTAGCCGCTGACACACTTTCCTGAGCACCTCCAGAGCTAACAGATAACGAAGACCTCGAAGACCTGCTTTGTGAAAAATGCTATACCGATCAAAGACAATTGCCCTCAGTGGTTAAAAGAAAGCTGAAATACACAGCTTCGAAAACTAAGTAAAAAAGACTGGCCGTCCAGGCGAGAGCTCTGGGAAGACATTAAACCTTTCTTTGAACACCGTCGGCCGCTGACCATAGAAAAGGAATTTCACCTCTATGCAGTCCGGGTTGTCGTTCCCTCTCATGATGAAATGAAATCATGCGTCTCTACACGAAAGTCACTTCGAAATCACAAAAACACAAGCAAGAGCAAAGGTTTGTGTTTGGTGGCCAACAATTGCGGCTGAAATAACTGCCAGAGTGAAGCGATGTAACGTACGCATCAGAACCTCAAGCAAAAGCAAGATGCCGCTTCAAACCACGGAATTTCTTGCTAGGCCATGGCAGTACGTTGAAATGGATCTTTTCTACATCAACAGCCACTGGTGGTCGACTTTGACTGTCTTTTTAAGAGAAACTTGAGAAACTCACGTCACCTACAGTCGTCAACCACTGCAAATCCATCTTCACCCGGCACGGCACTTCTGAAGTGGTTGCATACGACAACGAATCCCAGTTCTCGTCATCTGACTTCACCACAGTTCCTCAAAAATACAGCTTCATGCACACCATTCCAAGCTCACATTACCCTCAAAGTATTGGACGTTCGGAAGCAGAAGTAGAATACATCACGACGTTAATAAAGAAAACGAAAGACCCGTACCTCACCCTGTTCTCTTACAGGTCAAATCCGCTGAAGAACTGGTTCAGCCCCGCTAAACTTCCTATGGGTCGACTTTTAAGAACCAAGCTCCCCATTGTTCCCCAGATGCTGAGGACCCCAACGCCCGACATATAGAAACTTTGCAACTTCGAAAGGCAATACCGGGTACTACAAATAAAGACCTTGATCGATGGCATGGCACACGCGCTGTGCCCGAAATTCTAAGTGGACATGATGCTTGGATCACCGTCCAAAAGCGGAAAGGAAGTCTACAGAGACCAGCGGAAGAACCCAGGGCATACCTCGTGGACACGTGCTACGGCGTTGTGCGACGTAACCGAGCATATCTAGTTCCCTTTCCTAAAATTGCCTGCAATGCGAAAGTTATAGACAACGAAGGTACCGACGTGCCACCTACAAGGTGTGAAGACACATCTCATTCACACACGAAAAGCGGCTGATGCGCAAAGGCGCCTAAAAGACTTTGACTCTTCTCTTTCAGGGAGATGTTGAAACTAGCTAGACAGAGTAGGAGAACTGTTCGGGCTGCCTCATTCGTGCGCATGGAGGCTGGCCTCATGCCGCGCAAATAGCGCTCAGAACCGATTCCAACTCTGAGCCAATCGCTAAATATTAAGGCGAGAACCAGACTTCTCCCATTTCGCGAAAAGGCGTCGTCGTCGTTGTGCCCGAAAGATGGCCATAAAAAATGACAGATGTTTACAATTCTCTGTAACGCCGAATTAGACCACAGTTCTTGAGGAGGTGTAGAGAAAGACAGACGAAAAGCGACTACGTCTGAAGAATGCCAAAATCGAACTGATCTGGCTTTTTAGTTGCACGCGATCTACTTTTCCCAGTCGCTATCGCCACATAGACACCCCTCCCTTTTTGGAGATGGAGTCGTCCCAGTGAACTGCACTGGAGTGTTTGATGCTGGTCGCGACTGCTACTGTGGAGCTCGAGGTATCTTGCACGCTGGGAAGAGCAGCCGGCTGAGCGTTCGTATCGCTCTCACCAAATTTGGGCTTGAGGCGGTCAATGGACATGACCGTGTCGCGGCCATTAACCTGCAGGCAAATGGTTTGGTCGAGCGGTTCCATCGCCATCTGAAAGCATCTCTCATGACTCACGCCACACCAGATAAATGGGCCACGTCTCTACCCGTCGTCCTCCTAGGGTTGCGCACAGCCATAAATGAAGACCTCGGATGTGCCGCATCACATTTAGTTTATGAAACATCGTTGCGCCTCCCAGCTAAATTAGTCAGCCCTACCACCCCCATCCATGGCGACCTCACGATGACTGCAGGATTGCCTTACGTGGAGGACTTAGCCCGTTTTCTTTCCCAAGTGGCTATCGCCACAGACGGGAGAATACGAAGTGAGAGTATGTCCCTCTTTTAGCGAGAAACTTTTTACGCTAAATTTAGCCGGAACATTTTACCCTTGTTACGTCACACGTGACGTCACGAAGGTAAATTTAACGGGAATATTTTTCGCCAGATTTAGCGGAAATATTTCCTCGCTAAATTTAGCGGCATATTGTCAATGTTAGATGCGTGTGACGTCACGTGACGTCATACGCGACGTCATGTGTCACGTATTTTTTATAATGACGTCACACGTGGCAACGTCGTGATGTTACCCTCGTGACCCTCGTGAGGGTAACCCTCGTGATCCTCGTGAGGATAAGCCTCACAACTCTTAAGAGGGTAACCCTCGTAATGTCACGTGTGACATAATTATGGGAAACTTCCCATAATTTAACGCGCGGTTACGCCGACGGCGACGCCGCTCAGCCCGGAAACGGGCGCCTAAGAGGTTCGCTCTAAAATTCGCCATCAATCACGTGCCGGTCAAGGTCAAAGCAGACGCGCCTCAGAAATAAAACACGAAGAAAAGCACAGCAACGCAGATGCTTTGTTACGGAAGCCTTCGTGAAGCCGGCGGGGTTCGCAGCGCCTGCGCAGTGGGGGAGCGTGATGTCGCCGCAGGAGCGCCGTGTGTGAAAGGGACATGGCGCGCTGCTTGTAGGAATGCGCTGCTTGTAAGAATGCTTGAGAATTCCTACACATAAGCAGTCTTAAGTAGCTTCGGTGATTATAATAAGGATTTCAAGATGTTTATAAAAAGTGAAAATAACCTTTCACTACAGTTTTGCTCCTTGATGAAAAACAAATGAGTAGAGGTGTCAGCTTTTTTTTTTTTACTATGTGCCTAACCTATGGCAGTCTCCCATGCATTAAGGACACACATGAACATTTGTTCTATACATATAAAACACGTTCCTTGCCGATGTTCTATATACAGAGCTCCTTTATGAAGAAGGCGTTTGAACTTTAATACTAATATGCCTAGACAGTTTCTAGTTTTTGAGCATTAAGCGCGAAGTACGGGCCTGTTACAGTCAATATGACGCGAATGTCGAAACTTCGCCTTTTAAATATGACGCGAATGTCGAAACTTTGCCTTTTAAATATGACGCGAATGTCGAAACTTTGCCTTCGTCACCCCCGCCGGCAAGATGAGTGTGTGCGAGCAAGCACGGCTGTTCATCACGCTCCCGATTCATTTTGTGTTTTATTTACATCTTTCGCAACGTGCAATGGCCGCCCTCAGGGAAATCATCCAGTCTCTTGGTGTTCTTTCTGTAGCCCCTAGAAAATCACCCTCCTTATCGGGAAGGAAAAAGAGGATAGATCGATTGCGTGCAAACAGATACCATGGAGTTTGGCAATGTGCCTCCCGTATATAAAAGTTTAAAATCGGATGCTTGAAACATTTTGCTTGGAGTCGTTTATACCGAGTGTCGAAATACGATAATAAATGTAGCTAAATGTTCACACTTTTTACGGCTACAAAACGGTGCAGAGATTAAAAAATTATGTCTGGAAGTTACGTGAAAGGCGACATAAATTTGTACTTCAAGGAAATCTAAGATATTTGGTGCATTTACCTGCCCGCAACACTTTTAGGTAAGCCAATCGCTCTAATCTACGGAGGAAGCTGGGCAAATTAAAAAAAAAATAATAAAAAAATATCTTTCGACTAAAAAAAAAACAGAAACCGCTGTTACGCTGAGCCTGAAGTTTCACGTGCTTAAGTGATGATCGGTGTCACAACACACATCGTATAGACGACACATTGCTCCTTTCAGAATGTAAGCAGTCCGTTAACTAGAAGTGGCAGACAGTTGCTGTAAAATAGCGCTATTCAGCGTTGCATGAAAACTAGAAAACAGAGACAGGCAATGACGCAACCCTACTTTGTATGTGCACTTCTCGTACGGCGCCGACAATTTACAGCGTTCCGGGTAGATCATGCGACGTAGCTCTGGTTGTACCTAAGAGGCGCAGCACGCCTTCTTTAATAAAGTTTGGTAACGTTGATGTCGGATGTTTTAGGCACACATAATTGTACACACTTTATTTGCTTTTTATACGCATTACTTGAAATTGTTTGTGCACTTTGTTTCCCGAAATAGGTTGAGGTCAAATTGTTTAGTATGCGTGGTCTAACTCTTTCCGTATGATTAGTGATAGCTTGAGTAAGTATTTACACCAGGTCCTCAAGCAAATAAGCTAGAAATTCTATAGGAGTATGGCGACTACTTGTGCAGAGTAAGAGTTCTGGTGGTAATATTTCGTTACGGAAAACATGTACAACGTTTGTCTGAGTAATTATTCCTGAAAGCACATCAAAAAGAATTCTTCAAAACTTCAGTATCGGCTTACTCCAAATAAAGCTTTAAAAAGACATTGGATGTTATTTCAGAAATGATTACTTCAATAACGTTTGCTTGCACTTGCTATGGTAAAGTATGAAAACACACTTTCACAATCGGATTGGAAGTCTTCTGTGCTGTGCACTCCCGACTTGACATACCTGTTTGAGGAAGACCTCAAGATCCTCATCTTCAATAGCCACGAAGATGTTGACGTATTCCGCTTCTTTTATTTTCTTGAGCACGTCCCTGAATGAGTCGCTGCTATTTCTGAAGAAGTAGCTGACTTCGATGCCATCCTCCCTCAGTTCTTGCAGTAGGTCTTTTAGTTGGACAATTGCTGGAGACATGGTGATGAGCATACACATTGAGACGTCTGCTAACATTTCGGAGATGGTTCGATTGTGAACTTAAATATAAATACCTAATTTGTTTTTAACATAAGCGCACATATTTGTAGATTTCATCATCAACCTACTTTAGAAAATTGTAAGCTGGTAATAACACGTGTTTCTTGCATACTATCACATTCAGTCTAACTGCAAAACGCCTTGTGAAACCGATTTTTAATTTTGAAGATTTCAAATATTATATTAGCGCAGAACGGCTGCACGTTACAATGACCGGTCATCTTCTCTCGTAGAAACCTATTTATTTATTGATATTGGCGGCTTGTCGCGTTCAGTTCTTTTCCATTTGGCTTGTGAATCTTAACTGACTACAATGTAGTGAAGAAAATTGACCTAGTCGGAGCTTGATAGCGTGCGCTAAACTAATAAGCGAATGAACACATCCGAAACAATAACGAAGTCCTGCAAGGTTGGAAAGGGAGCATGACAACCCTCATCATTTTCTTTTGAACCTAAGCTCGACAATAAGCTAACGGGGCGGATTTAACTTTTTTTACCGTATACTGAAGGAGAGTGTGTTTATTCCTTTTTTTAATGCAAGTACAAGCGAAGTATTAACAAAATCTTACAGATACATAGGTTGTCATTTGTGTTTTTTCTCTACTCCCTTGATCGTGCTTGCATTCATAATCCTTATATAAAAAGGAAAAATCAGAAAGAATGTGTTGAGACCGTGCGGTTATGTCACAGCCCCTAGCTCTGATTGGAAGGAGACTGGAAAGGCGAAATTTGATTTCTTGCCCGGAGCTGCACTACTTTAAAATTCAGCTACGAATATCAACGCTGCATAAACCAACTAAAATCACTTGTTATATAAATTTTCCCAACCAATATTTTGTTTTTATTATTACGTTTATATTTTATGAGTCGAGCTCTATTATCAACACCGATTTTAAAGTCACTTCTCATGCTCTAAGCGTACCATCATCTTCATCGTAGAGAATGGCCAGGGCGCTCCACTCCCAGTATTTCATAAGAGCCGTGTAGGCCTCGGCGAGGATGTTCGGGTGTGGAAAGATATTGATGGAGTCGTCGCTGTCTTCCATAAACGGGTCCCAACGTGTCTCCAGGTGGGGCACGTTGAGGCTGTCGCACACAGAGCTGACGTGCACGCTACTGACCCCAGACATTGGGCCGAAGATGGCCGCCACCCCTTGCTCGAGTAACCTGCATGCTGCGAAGATAAAAACGCACGGCAACTATTCTCATAGCGTTTTCTTCGACGAGAAAGGTGGAGTGAACTTTTTGACATCTTGAAACATTTTTAAAACAGTGGACCATCTATAATATAGCCTTCTACTCCAAGACATGTGTCCGTCCCTCCGAAAATACCTCTCTGCAGGGTATGTCATTACAACTCGTTTGGTTCCGGCACTATGACAAAACAAGCAGGACAATATACAGAAGAACCTACTCCACTTTTTCGCTATTAAGGCATGCACGATGATTTCAAAAGAAGGAATCTAACGACAATCCTCAAGGTCCGCAGCCCGATGCTCTATATATGCGTTAGTCGGACGATTTTCAACGTTCACAGGTGGAGGGTGAGCCCTATTGCTTCTACAATACTTTCCACATGCCGGTAACCTCCATAGTGGAAGGTAATGTTGTAGAGGAGGGTGATTAAAATTAAGAAATAATATGTTTTTTTTTTTCCTTCCTGAAACGACTCTTTGTTGAATTGTAGACAAATTTAAACGATTCATCTTTACATGGTGCATTTCAGAGCAGTTCAATCTTATTACTTCAAAGGTGCTGAAGAAAGCTTAGCACTTCGCATTAGGGGGAAGTGCTATAATAAAGTGCACAACAATAAAGCGAAAATTCAAAGAAATAACACTGTACAAACTTTATAAAAATAAATCACACATTTAACGAATTTTGTTTTTTTTCAGATTCGTGGACTATGTGCGCTAGCAATGAGTTCCAGTGAGGTATGTGAAGAGTTTTTTTTAAATTGTCAGTTCTGGAGAAGGGAGCTGAGCTTCAAGGTGATTATCAATGCGTAAGGAAATATCAGGTGGGATCTGGATATGTCTGCGAAACTCAGACTATGAATAGTAAATGCCATGAAAGAAACCAACACGGGCAATTTTTGTTTAATGGGTAAGTAGTCTTCATTCTAGACTTTTTTTAAATAGCTGTGACACTCGAGGGATACCAGTGGTCGTGAGTAATATAACTAGATGCTTAATATTGTACCGATTCGAGCTTGTTGATAAGATATTCTTGATTGGGACACCAGATAATATGTGCGTGTTCTAATTTTAACTTGACGAATGATTTATATCCGGTTAGTTTTACACTTTTTGGTGAGCGAAAAAGATCGCGTTTAATGTATCCTAGTGCTTTACGCGCACTGTACACGGTGTTATTGATGTGATCATTCCCAGTGAAGTCCTCTGCAAACGTGACTCCTAGCTACTTGTAAGTGCTAACTTTCTCTGTGTCAGCGTGATCGTGTGTATATTTCCTTAGCGATGGGGAGGCATTATAAAACATTTTTTTATGTAAAGATGGCTGCCAAATGCCCACGTGTAAAGCCACAAAGAACTCTGAAGAAGAAACATAAATTAACATTTCTCCTTCCCTTTTTTTTTTTGTTCTACTGCTTTCTTGTTCTTTTTGGTGTATGCACCACCGTCACTCTAGTCGGAACTACAGTGGCAGTAGCTTGTTGTATAAGGGACGAATTTAGATTTTACGTAAATATATGTATAGTTACTTGATTTCTGAAAAGATCTCACATGTTCACATTCTCACTCTAAAAATGTACCTGTGTTCAGAGACAATAATGATTTTTTTATGGAGTCTTTATAAAAAAAAACAAAAAAACTTATCAATCGGTATACCTTGAGACACTGTACCGGACATTGTTGGTTATAAAGTTCCATGTGTTCCGTATTTAAAAAGAAGCCACAGAAAAAAAAAGTTCTCCAGCAAGTTTTTTGTTTTTGTTTTTTTAAGTTGAATATGATTGAAAAATTACAATATCACAAAATCAGTTTTTGTCGGCACTTATATGTTTTTTTTTTAACCATTAGTGTCATTCAGATAAGACCAGCAGGTTAGGGAATCCCATGCTCACGTCCTGTTTTCTTTAACATAAAAAACAGTAAACGGCAACTTTTGTTCGACATTAAAGAATAGCCTAAAAATAGTTAAATCGGTAGGGAAGCGTTGGCCCGGAAGAGGCACCACCGATTTAGAAGTAAGATTAACCCGAATAACAAGAAAACCTAGCTAGTTCGTATATTTAGTTTATTAACGTTTTCATTTGTCGGGAAATGACTGCTTGGTCAACCTTTGTCTGTAATCGTCTCAACACAAATCTTATTCTGAGCATTTATTAAATAATCCAACTATATGTTCTTCGAACAACATCCGTACGCTACGTGCCGAAGTGAGTAAGCCAAGTCGCCGCCAAAGTCCCCCTTGCGGTCGCAATAAGATGTCAATGTCCAGCATTGTACGTAATTTTTGTTACGTAATATTTGAAAGCAACACTTGTGTTGTTTTTATTCGGGAAAGAGAATAGTTGCGATAAATACTTAAAGGCAAATGGGTGTCTGTAAGCAAATGGAGAACCATTTTCTTACCAATGCCTCGAACAACTTCTCCTGGCGCTTCAAATAACGTCATTTTACGTTCAAATATTTTAGAGTCCGATTCCAATGACTGTTGTGACATTCGTGATGTACAGTCACCACAAAATGAAACCCGAACGCCGGAACGCGTGGCCGTTGATACAAGCTGCTCCACCTGGAGGGCCCCTGAGAACTAATAAAAATGCGCCGGGGTGCGAGGGTGTGCGTCCTACTAATACCGAGTTCGTTTCACGGCAATCGTGCCCACGCGTGCCCACTCGCAGCAAAGAGCGGGTTCGTTTCGGCCAGCACTCCATGAGTGGTGGCACTCTCCGATTTCGTTTCATCGCTGACACCCCACGCGTGCATGCACTCGCTGCACCGAGAAAATCGTGAGCGCGCCAAAATGCAATGCCGTCGTGCCTCGCTCCGGCGAGGCATGCGAGGAGCGGGAGCAGACGACGAGGGTTCGTCTGCTGTGATGTGTCGTGAAACCGACAGGAAAAAAAAGTAGATTTTCTAAAACAAATCACGTTCCGCGGGCAACGGAATCAAACGCGAGCTTCAATTGTGAGCGTCTGCTATTTCATGAAGGAAGAAATTGACAAACGGTGCTTTATTTGGAGTTTTTAAGTCGCTCTGTTGCCGTACAAACGCTGAAATATACAAGCGTGTTAAGAAATGCTCAGAACAAACGCATCAGCGGCCCCCGAGATGTGGATCACCGTCCGTGTGCGGGCGAAAAATTGAACATTTGTCGACAAAACTCCTCCAGCAGAAACCTCTGACCGCCCAATTAGCATCAGAGAAAGCTAAACATAGTGACTTTACCCGAGGCTTGGGCAACATCATCATGGTAAACATTTACCTACGACAGCTAACTTCCCCGTCGTATTTTGTTCGAGAAAGCTCTCGTTCTCGACGCCCTCAACAAGACTAATATCTGATCCACCTGTAATGACGATCGAAATTGAAAGTCCCACGAAAGGTTTTGCTGGATATTCCAACAGACTAATTTTAAGCCGTACTCTTTCAGTGATTCACGCATAATACCAAGCTCGAACGGATTACGCTTCTGCTCGGACAGCATCATCAGTTTTCTTCAGTGTAAACGATTATAAGAATTGAAAGAACGGAACCAGCTGCTTTGTAGACAGCTGGTTGCGGAAATTTACGCCGTCTGTAACTATCTCTACGACAGCCGAGTGGCTTGAAGTCATCGCAACTGTAAACTACAGGTTGCAGCGACAAACGGTTTTAGATAAACGTTGGTAGCGACTGCACTCTCGCATTCCCTTCGATCACTCCGATCAGAAAGGCGCTAGTTTCGGTTTGAGGTCGGTACCTTTTCTACAACATAGATGGCGGCAGAATCAGTCTTCTGCACTCGGTGCATTTGGCGAGTTCATTTGAGTCCAGTTCTCCGTGCAACACTCAGCGAGTGCGATGCATTCTGGGAGAGAACTCTAACGGTGCCGGTGCGTGTGAAACGAACTCGATATAAGATGAGCTCGACCTTCGCGCGGCGCGTCTGGAACTTCCGTTTTTCGCCGGTGGCGCGCTGTAAGCGCCGTCACATCCGATACATCTTAAAGCACTCTCACTCGCTTTGTGTATCGAATTCCCAGCGATATCTCTTCGGCGCTGTCGTTCATTATCGCTTTGTGTACCGCAAGGGTGAAATGAAAGTTGAAATATTTCGTGCACAGAAGACCGTAGCGCTTGATGACGTGTCACCGGAACCACGCTGGGGCTCCAGTGAACAACGTGCCACGCGCGGTTTCTGAGAAATAGTGAAACGTCATAAACGCGAAATAAAATTTGCTTATTCTCACGACCATACTCTCTATGACAAAAAGATGTTGCAGCAGACCGACGCGGATGCCTCGGTTTTTATGAGCAATGCCCATGTTTTTGTGTGCGGTTATCAGTCGAATCTTAAAAAGCGAGGAATTGCTTGCTGACGCTCTCTTTGGTAACCACCGATATTCCAGGTGTGTCAGTTCCGGAGCGGAATAAATTCATCACCCTGTCTGAGCAGGGCCTATGCAAAGAGCTATAGCCAGGTTGAGCGGCCGCCCATTGTCGACCGGGGGGCAGTGCCGCGACAGAAATACACCCCGACTGACGGCGTGTACAACGCGCCACCGGCGAAACACGGAAGTCCCAGGCGCCCAGGCGCCCCGCGCGAGGATTGAGGACGTCCTTGTAGGACCCGCACCCTCGCACCAGGTGCATTTTCATTAGTTCTCAGGGGCCCTCCATGTGGAGCAGCCTTTATCGATGGCCACGCGTTCCGGCGTTGGGGTTTCATTCAGTGCTGGCTGTACATTCTAATTTGTGCTGCAAAGGTATTGACGAAAGGATTTAATTAATTTATCCTTTTTGTGCGAAGAACACGACTTCCTATCCTCGTAGCGCCCCTTGTCAGACGCCAAGATGTTCAGTGGTGCTTCAAGGAACGTCCAATATCAAATATAGCTAAATGTGTATGTAACGTTGAGATTTTCGATTTACGGGTCAACCCTTATCTATTCTACAATGTAATCTCACGCATATTTCCAAATACTCATATCTAATTATGTGCGACAGTAAATATTTGTTTCATGATATAAACTGTTTGCTTAATTCCCGAATACTATAAAAATTAATATTTCAGAAAGTCGTGAGAACGTTTCTCTTGTACAATAAATAAGTAGTGAATGGTGAACAAGTTAGGACAGTTTTTTTGTTTTTTTTTTGCAGAAAAATTAAAAAGGAACTAAAGGAAGCTTCAGAGGTTGTCAGTTCCCTCAAAGCGCTTGACCTCGATTTTTGGCGTATTCTTATCATTCTTTTCCCTTTCCTAAGAAGTTCCTTTTCAAAACTGTCACGAAAAAACTAGGAATTGGCTTTCACCATCTCTGACAGCTTCGTAGCTGTCGTCCTCGGGCAGGATGTCGACGACCGGTAAGATGTCCGGCTCTAGGTTGACACTCGAATCCCCGTTGACGATGTCGATGGCCGCTTGGAAAACCACCTGGTAGAGCTTCGATTCGAAGAGTCCTCCTGAAGTGCAAGAAATGGGCGACCTCTGTTACAAACAGGGTTACAGTTTTGTAGAATTAAGATAAATGCCTCGCTGTGACATTGAATACGTTGAAACGAAGGCAAAACAGCACGAGTACACAGTTTCTACCCTACTACGTAGCCTGCATTTTTTCGCACCGGTGGTGAGGGAGTGTTAGCGCATTGTTTACCCGTGCACACGCTCCTCGTGCCGCAGCGCCATTGAACAGCTGCGCCTGAGTACCTTTGCTGATATTCCTATCTTTATAATTGCTACGGTGCGAGCGCGAAAATTGGCTGGGACTTTTCAGAATATCAAGGGTTGATAAAGGAAAGGACCGAGCCGGAGGGGTTCGAACCCGTTTTCCCCGCGTGGTAGCCGCGTGTGTTGCCAACTCCGCCACGCACTCGTAGATATTAAGTAAGCTGACCGATACTGTACTTACTGCAGAAGCAGCATGCGTAAAAAAAATTTGGCTCACACATTTAGGACTGCTGACGTGTAGAGACGCGAAAACATTCCTACAAGCAGCGCGCAACGACTTCCTTTTTCACACGGCTCTCCGGCGGTGACGTCACGCTCCCCCACTGCGCAGGCGCGGCACCCCCGCCGGCTCCACGGCTTTCGTGACGATGCATTTGCGTTGCTGTGCTTTTCTTCGTGTTTTGTTTCCGAGGCGCGTCCACTTTGACCTTGAGCAACCCGCCAGCTTCTGTGACGAAGCTTCTGATTTGCCGTGCTTTTGGCCAATGTGAATTGAGGTGCCATTTAGCTCAGCCAATGGGAATTGAGGTGCCGTTTTTCGCTGCTGCAGACAACGGCTACAGAAAACGAAGGCTTCGCTCCAAGGGACATGATAAAAGAGAAAGCGCACAAAAAGCAAGGACGAAAAAAAGAGGACGCGTACGACAGACAAGCGCTTTCTATTTTATCTCGTGTCCTCTCTATTTCGTCTTTTTTTTTTCGCGCTTTCTATTTTATCATGAACTGCTACCAAATAGCCCAACTTTCAACCATGCTGCAATCTATGGGACAATTACTGATTTAGCATTTTAGAAACGGTACATGACATATCGAAACTTCAATCTGTGCGCTCCATGAATTCAAACACTATTATTTTTGCTACAAAAACTATTCATGATAAGAAATTTAGATTTTATTTTCAACGACATAAATAAAAGATTTCTCGGCTATTTCATCTCGTTCGACCTATCCTCAGTGTGGAGCTGAAGCGAAGGTAAATCCCATCTCATATTCAAATTAAGATTGCAGACGGAGCATTCTCGAACGGCTCGTCCAAACGCGCTCAGAGTCCATCCTATTATCGAAGGTCGTATGCCAACCCAAGAACGCTCCATCTCTTCTCGGACACGGGGTATGGAAACTGCATTATAGCGTAATCAGGAGGACCGAATGGTATACAGGACGATGTGGCGTCAGATGCTTGATCTACCTCACGCTAACAACAGCATGTAAACAGAAAAAAACAACGCATTTTTTGGATCATTATATATGGCAGGTCTAACCGATATTATACTCAACGCTATATGCAATGGCACAAAAAAAAACAAAAAAAACTGATGCTATCGATCCCAAGTAAGCTCACGAACTAACCTCGCCACAGTTTGCTGTGCAATGTCGAATGTGTTTACGCAAAATAAATCACTCTGCGGGTGTGTTTTGTGTTTGTTTTATCCGGTGATGGACGAAATATATCGGATGATAACAGGTTTCGAAGGGACTTGCGTATCTTTTTATGCTGTATGTGATGAGACGACACGATGGGCCGGCTGCAAAAAAATATTGAAACTCTCCCGAGCCTATATCTGTAGAAGTGCTATGGTTTCTTTATATTGTGAGCTTCGGCGTTTTGTTTCCTCTTTCTTTCGAGAGGACTGTCATTTTAATGTAGTTTGGTGTTGGATTAATTTAGTTGTTTCGCTTAAAGTGCGCTGTGAACTTCTATAAATTCCATTTTTTTATTAAGTTAATACGTCTTTCAATATTCAGGTATTGACTTCTTCAAGCGCAATGCATCACTAGGCTGTAAGATATAGATCGTCGACCGATAATCAGTTGGAACACTACAGAAAAATGCACTGTATATGCAGATACGACTAGAAATTATCAGAATTTGCGCAATGTAAAATTAGTCAGCAAATGTATGTTTACAATACGTTAGTGTAAACTTAAAATTATGTGCGCGATAAAAACAGTCGTGTACTAAGGCTTTGCAATAATTAAAAACGCTTATTTTTACGATCCTCTTTTTCTTGTGAAGCAAACGCTGCACTATCAGACAAAGCATTCTTGACAGTTTCAAGCGGTGCGAAAAACAAAATAGTTTAATATTAATCAGGACGGCCATAGTCGAAGCCTTGGTTATATTTTCCGCATTAAAATAAGGAGATTGCATAAAAAAACTTTTTTTTTATTCTGCTGGAACAGCTGTCATTGACGACGGACTTTCTTATGAATATTTTTTCTCAAAGTACGTCATATTTTGAATTTACTATCATTCTTGAGAAGGTATAGAGGTAAATAAAAGATCGGTTTGGAACAGTTCCCCCCCCCCCCCCCCTTCCTCGCCTTTCGCCCTCGTTCAACACTCCAGGAGCATACGCGACGGAGAGTATCTCTATTAAAAGGATCGGTCAAGGCGGAATCGACTTGAAAGAAAGTTACTGACTTTTCGCGTAACGTTCACGCCCACCCAAGCGAGGCATACAGTTGCGCCCTGCAAACTTCCGAGAATATCGATACACACACTCCTCCATAAAATCCCTCCATCACAGGGTTTCCAACCGTATCCGACTTGCCCGCAAGGCAAAGGGCGTAGGAGGCCATTTAGCGGGAACGAATCGATGCAGGGTGGAAAGGGTAGTCCCTCTTTGTATCTCTCGTCTTCCCCCCTTTTCATCATCTCTTTCACCCTCCCCCCCCCTCCCCCCCAACTTTCTATCGGAGCACGCCGCAGTAGCAAATTATTCCCTCGAGACGCAGGGAGGGAGTAGGGTCAAAAGGAAAATCGCGCTCCCCGAACTGCGTGCCGATAGTTCGGATGGGCCGGCTGCCAAAGAATCTTGCCACTCTCGACTCGTGTGCTGCCCTCGGAGAGCTAGACCTTGTACTTCCGGTGCTGGAAGTCGTCTCCGACTGGTGGTAGGTTTGCTCGCGTCTTCAAAAGTGGTTTCTCGGTTTCCGCCCGATAACGTCGCACGAGTGTCACATGCTCTCACCGGCTGCGACCCCATGGCGGTGTCACGGCAGCGGTGATGTTGTGGATGTGGAAGACGCCTGTTTTCTGCTGTGTGTCGCTCTCCAGTTTCACGTCGGTCCGCGGAAGGTTGGGTGGCCGGGAGTTGGTACAGCGAGACGAAAGTGACACTTGCGTTATCTCGCGCTATTTTTCCCAAAACTTCTACGTCCAACGGCCGGAACCACGACATCCGACAGCAAAACAATCTTGTTATTTTTTGTTTGTTTTTTTATCACATCATTGGTTGACACTTTCAATGCATGGGCGTACCAGGAGGCTCGTCTCACCGGTTGTTGACGCGTTTCAGGCACCGTAGTTGTACGAGGCGTAAAAGTTGTTATGCTCGTAACCAGAAGTGAAATAAAATTGCTTAGGATCGTGCGAAACCCACGCGAATAGAGAATTGATCTACGTGGGAGTCACCTGGTTACGTCAGCTGTCCAACTGACATCAAGTCTCGTGACGTCACTGGGTCCGTGACTCGGCGACGTCCATGGAATAAAGGTAAGATGTCTAGCGTGACGTTGCGCCTCTTTTCAGAATCACCCTCGAGACGTGACCAAGAATGAAGATCAATCCTCATAAGATCCATGAATTTGCACTGGTAATTGCTCGTCAATAAAACAATACGCTTTTGTCACTATCATGTTATAAAAAAAAACACATTTGCCTTCAAGAAAAATTAGGAAACACAAAGACATATTTTTCATGCACTAGGTACCCTGTACATCGTGCATGCCTGTCAGTCTATTAGAACATCGCCGTCTCCAGGTACAGGCGAAGTAAATACCATACAGTGCTGAGCTCTGCCTGATAGCTGTATCTTATCTGTTTTACAGATCACCCGCTAAGACTGAGCTGTAAAGAACGATGCAAGAAATTGGCGAGTTTTTAAGGCGACACAAAACAGTCCCCCTAGAACACTCTTCTTTTTACCTTTGTACAGGCAGGTGAAATAAAACACGTCGAAGTATTTTTTATAGGAGAAAACGAATTTACTAAGTATATTGTCAAACCAATTTAACTCCAGAAGGTCAACATAACAATCTGAAACTAAAAAAAAATAAAAAAAAGAACAAGAGGCTACGCCACGATGATGGCAGAACGTTCTGGCTAGCATTATCGTCATTATAAACGGGAGCGACTCAAAGCTTAAAAAGAGCTTTGCTCGCTCCGTGGCGAAAATAAAGTCAACCCGCGAGAAACACTCGTAGCGCGGCGTTTTTGAAGCTTGACCTATACCTCATTAATTTACCCAGTATTCGTTTTATCTTGACAATCGTTACTTGTTACTTTTTGCATATCACTCGCCGAGCCTGTTCGAGTCTAATTATATTACGCACTATTGAAGAGCCCGTAAGATACCAATCCTGGGTGTCCTTGTGTTTGGAAAAAATAAAAACGCTGACAAATTGTAATGAATTACCTTATGATCCAGACACCCATTGCTGCATTATTGGAGTATATTTGGCCAAAAATTATCCAGCATGAGATATAGTATAAATACAAAATATTGAATTTATTTCAAATGCATACGTTTACGACGTGCGTAAATGCACGTCGCTAAAGCTAAAGCGAGGTGCGTGAATGCAAACAAAAATATTCGAATAAAATTACGTTCAATTAATCTGTTTTTTTTTTAGAACCTCTAATACTTCGCATAATAAGTGCTCGATCATTAAGTGGCATAGGTAGCTATGATGTAGTCAGGTTACACAAATATTAGCAGAGACGACAGAA